TGCTTGATCATGTCCAGCCCCCGATGAGTGTCCATTGGCGTGGCGCGCCGTCTCCCTCCTCCCCTTTCCTCCCGCTTCGCCCTGCCCATGTTTCCTATGTCTGTGTCCGTCCAGTCGCTTGACGTTCAAGTTCGTCGGGAACGTCACGTCCGCACTTGAACTTGCTGCTCAGGGGGGCTTTTGCCATTTTTTTCATCTCTCTCTCTCTCTCTGTCTTTTCTCTCTCTCTCTCTCTTCTTTTCTCCCCTCCCTCCCTCTCTCTCTCTGTCTTCCTCTCCGGCACAGAAAGGAAAGGGGAAAAAAAAAGCAAAAGCAAAAGCAAAAAAAAAAAAGCAAGCAAAAAAAAAAAGCCATGATTGCTCTCCCACAATTCATCTTCCCCGCGCCATCTTTGTATTATTTCTAATTTATTTTGGATGTCAAAAGACACCGATGAAGATATTTCCTCTGGAGTCTCCCGCCTGGCTCGCCCCGCGCTTCCCGATGTGATCCAAGCGCGAGAGCTGCGTGCGCGCCCGCCCGAGCCACCGACCCGAGCACCATGTCTCGCCGCAAGCAAGGGAAACCGCAGCACTTAAGCAAACGGGGATTTTCGCGTAAGTAGAGAAAGGGGGAGAGAGAGAGGGGGGTGGGAAAGAGGGGAGAAGAAAAAAAAAGAGCCACCGCTGCCTCGCTTCCCGAGTTTCCTCAAATCCCCCCCCCCCCTGCCACGAGCTTCGGTGCAAAAGAACCGCACCGTCGCCGCGATCGCTTCGGTCCAGTCCTTAAGTCTGCATTTTGCACCCTGCAAGCCGGGGCGCTGCGTGCATGCACGGCTTTGCACGGCTTAAGTTTCCGAAGCAACTCCCCTTAACACTGAGGAACAACCCCCCCCCCCATTAATACCCTCTCTCTCTTTTTTCTTTTTTGCATCGTTAGCAGCTGGCTCGAAAAGGACCCCCCCCACTCTTTCGCTCCCTCTCTCTTTTTCAAAGTTGCCTTTTATTTTCTCTCCTCTCTCCGTCTGTTTCTCTCCCCCCCCCATTGATTCTGCTGTAGCTCTTTTGCCGGAAGACACCGAGCGAGCGAGCGTGTCTTGGTTTGGAGGGGGGGGAAAGATTGCGCGCGCGCGTGCGGGGGGGGGACTGCTGCTTAACCAACGCCGGGCAACTTAAGAAAGCCGAGAAAGACGCGTCGGTTTTCTTCTTCTTTCTCTCCCCCCCTTAAGGTCGCTTTCCTTCAGTTTTCCGAAAGGGGTGTGTGTGTGTGTGTGTTGTGGGGTGCGTTGCAAAAGCGAGGCGGACAAGGCACGGATCCAGAGCAGCGGGTTCAAAAGCGTCCCTTTATTTTTTGCACCGAGACCCTGCATCTTCGGATGCGCGCCCCATCTTTTCATCCCCCGGCAAACCCCTGCCTCTTCTTTGTGTGTGTGCGTGCGTATAGACGGCATAAAGTGCAAAAGTGTGTATATGTGCGGGGATCCTTTTGTCTCCACCGGCGAGATCTGG